TCACATGCACTATTTATAGTGTTTAAGAAAGTAAAGTACATCAGGAGTGATTGCACTTGATTCAGATATTCAAAATCCTCAAAGATAATGACAAAGGTAACCTACAGTATTGGACTCAACACTGAAATATGAAACAATGGATCTTAAAGAATAATGCATTTAGAACCAAGAGCATGAGGTACAGTAAACCCTTTGTACAGACATCCTCAAAGAGGATATCCTGGCTTCTTTTGGAAAATGTTTGGATAAGATATTTGGATCAATTACCTACTGGAAAACCCAATGAGCTAGATGGGCAGAATGACCTCCTTTTATTTGTAACCTTTCTTCCCTTTTGTATTCACAAAAGAACTGACAGTACACAGATGAATCACATATATAGAAATCTGTATATAAAGTTTATATATAATATATGTGAAGGATCAAAAGGTTAACTTTAAGTATACTGGTCCTGAATTACAGTATGTGATTCTCCATATACCAACTTGGGTGCAAGGAGGAGATGTTTCAAAGATGGCCAGTGGTAAGCAGATCAGACAGGGAAAGAATCACTGTCAATCTGATATCGTTACTAAACAAACATGCTTTCAAATCTTCAGCGAATTGCGCCATGACTCCTTGCATTTATTGTTGCCTAAAACATGGTGAAATTTAAGAATCCCCACTTTTGACCACTCACCTGATGTTTGGCCTCTGTATCCATCCTATAGAAACAGAGAAATGTTCTTTGGTTTTGAAGCATTATAGAAATGTAAATCGAGAATCTTATATATAGAAAATATAGAAGTATAAAATTTCTCTTCCATTGCATCTACAACAACCTTTAAAGTCTCTCAGCCTTGGTGAATCTACCTTCAATGTCCCTCTTGTGCCTCTCTGCATGGGTGGAACAGTGGCTCTGTGCCTAAAGATCTGCACCTGTGGCTAGGAGGTTGCCAGTTCAAATCCCATGGCTGGCAGAGGAATCATACCCCATTGGGCCCCTGAGCATGGCCCTTAATCCCAGCTGCTCCAGGGGTGCTGTATAAATTGTTGACCCTGTGTTCTGTCCCCAAGCTTTTCTCCCTGTCTGTGTGTCTAATGAAGAGCAAGCTGGGGTATGAGAAAGGACAAATTCCTAATGCAAGAAATTGTGTATGGCTAATAAAGTGATCTTATCTTGTTTATTCCCTGGTACACAGACAAACCCATTGTTATTCAGTTCACCAGCTATGAAAACCACAGTGGCAATGCCTTTTACAATCCAAGCTGACAATTCTTCTTTACACTTTCTATGAATGTGTTTGTTTGTGGGAGATGCCTGCCTTCAGGATGTCTCATTCGGCGCCTCAACAGAACCATTTATTGAAGGGTTGTACAGTATGTGAAACTGGAAGTCGATGGAAGTGCAGTGTAACACTCGAGACCAGGGAAGGAATTTCTCTTGGGCTATGCCTGCTCGTAGGACAAAAATAATTTGAAGCTGACAAAGCAAGGTGGCTTTATAGACAGTATATAAACAAGCAAAGGCCTTTAGGGTCATGTCCTACTTTTTTCTAAATAAGCAATTTTATGATTTGGTCAGTTTCAAATGTTGGTGAGAGTTCATCTATGTCCACATGAATTTGAACAGATTCATGAAAGTGAATTTTGGTATTAAGGATGAATTTATATGTAGTATTTATAGCACTTAAGGGACTTTTTTAACAGATCATGGAAGTACACTTATAAAGGTATTGGACCCCCAGAGTTGCCTCAATGCTTTTAATTAAGATTTTAAAACATGTATTTTTCTTTATAGCTGTTATTCACTTTACCTTAATTTCTGGGAGTCAATCATTTTTATGGGGAATTCTATGGATGCATGTATCCTGCACTGAATTACTCTAAATAAATAAAATTACAATTTAAGTTTTAGAAAAAAATAACTTTAATTCTAAAATCACTAACAACCATGTTTTAGTAACAGGTTAAAATTTTATTTGAAGTCAAATTTTTTGTTTTGTTCCGAATGCTTTTCTCTACTCATCTTTTGACTCAATGTGCTTATTTTTTTGATATTACGTACAATATGTTGTCTAACATTCCTAGTACAACAAATTGTTTATCAACTCCATCAGTTCCTTAAAGGTTTGCTTTTGTATGTCTCCCCACATCTTTTAATAATGTTAATACAGTAAATGTAAAATGTTTTGAAAATGGAAACAGAGAATAAAATGTTGGGCAAAACTATTTGATAATACAATTGAAAAGTATAAAACAAACTCTACATTTGGAAATTGTATCCAACTGTATTGATAAATGTCTTCAGTTCTGGAAAACCATTCCCATTGTGAAGAACCCTGCATCATCTCAGTCTACGGATGTGAAACTGGCAGTAGATTAAAGGTGAGTAAGAAGCAGCTGGACACTTGAGAGCTAAGACAATGGATATTTGCTGATCTGGCTGCTCCAAGTATGAACAGGAACAGGAAAGCTGAAATCTTTGGTTTAGATTTTGATGCAGTTAAATTTGCTTTATTTTTTAATCTTTTGTTGAATAAAAGCACACCCATACAAATAATGTTTTGCTTAAAATGTAAAGTTTCTTTGAGGTCTAGCACTTCCATTTTGACTGTGTGCAACTTTCTCAGAGCAGTGGTTAAACAATCCTGTGGTGAGTGGGTTCAGCTACAAGACTGAGGCCTCAGCTTCAAGTCTCTGTTGTGCACAGAAACCTGGTGACGCACGATGAAAACTACAGGCAACTATAAAATATGGAATAAAAGTTCAGAATATGCATGGTAAATGCTGTGACAATACTCAAGCAACATATTGTGTTAAACATTTATAACAGTAAATGCTGTACTGCTCTGGTTAGGAAAACAGTTTGCCATTAGTCTACATCATAGAATTCCATCATAGTCACATGTTCTCAGATACTTTATCACATCAGAATTTCTTAAGATTTCTATAGTGATCCTTGGATTTTAATGTTCAAGCGTGTATTCTGAAATATGTTCCATCAGGATATAATCAACCATTCTTTTTATATAAAATAACACTACACTCACAATGGAAATAATTAATGAAAGGTTTTCTTAACTTCAAGACATTAATGCCACTGCAGAGCCTTACATATAACATGCTAGGGTTAGGGTTAGAACTCCTGTCTCTCACACCTTGGTGTCCTATGAGGTGTTTTCGAAGGGATTCCATTTCTGGGAAGGGGAGAGGGGAGGGGTTATTCCCAATATAAACAGTACTAATCACAGCATTTGAGAGAAATAAATCCAAATTAACACGATGGACCAGATGATCTCCTCTCATTTTTGGCCTTTCAGATATTCAGACGCCTTCTAATATCACATTCTGAAATTGATAGCATCTTACCTTCCACATAAAAACACACTCGCACTGTTCACCAAGGAGACATTATGGCTCTTAAATGTGATAGCGGTTAAAACTTTAGAAAAGCTATTACTTCCAAATAGCAAAAATCAAATTAGTTTCTTACACAAAAATCATCTGATAGCTGAACAGTATTGTAAAGGAATATCAATGCAAATTCAATAAATGTGGTTTAAAAAAATCTTGATTGACAGCAGGGTTATGAAAAAAAGTTAAAATGTTTAACCGACAATCTATTGTCTAGTAGGAAGAGAACACTTTTCTGTTGGTCTTTGGTTCAGTGGAGGGGAAGGAAGCGTGTCAGTTTGTGTGAAGTGAAAATCATCATTGTTTTGTTGGCAGAGCAATTGTATTCAAGAAATGATCTTTTCATTACATGTGAGTTAAAATACTGAAAATGAATAAGAGCTATCTCTTAGTAACTTTTGAAATTAAAATTAAGATTAATATTTCTTTCTGAATTTCTGAATTTCTAAAGATATCATTTTATAATTTACAAAAAGATAAGTCCTTATTGTGGCAGCATAACCTTAACCTAATAATACCTGTAAAGCTCTTTACAGGTAATGGGGACTCCCCTCCACCACCACCAATGTGTACCCCCACCTGGGTGATGCGACGGCAGCCATAGTGCGCCAGAACGCTCACCACACATCAGATATCAGTGGGGAGGAGAGCAGGGTAATGAAGCTAGTTCATAGATGGTGATTTTTAGGAGGCCATGATTGGTAAAGGCCAATGGGAAATTTGGCCAGGACACCAGGGTTACACTCCTACTCTTTTCGAGAAACGTCCTGGGATTTTTAATGACCACAGAGAGTCAGGACGTCAGTTTTATGTCTCATTCAAAGGACGGAGCCCATTTACAGTATAGTGTCCCCGTCACTATACTGGGGCATTAGGACCCACACAGACTGCAGGGTGTGCACCCCCTGTTGGCCCCACTAACACCTCTTCCAGCAGCAACCTCAGTTTTTCCCAGGAGGTCTCTCATCCAGGTACTGACCAGGCTCACACCTGCTTAGTTTCAGTGGGCTGACAGTTGTGAGTTGCAGAGTGATATGGCTGCTTGCTTACTGAATGAGTGTAAAGGACAAAATATTTTGTGACAATAACAACACATTATAGGAATTTGGTGTTTTGGATGTGATCAAGGATTTTTGGCTCAGTGATGATAATCATGTACTTTATACCCTTTTAAATCAGTTTACCTTTAGGATTAAATAAACACAATTAATATTGAAGAATGGATTAAGTCACATCAAAATATCAAAAAAATATTGCTACTTTAATAATGATCCAGTAAAAAATGTAAATCATCATATAACATACAGTACTTGACCTGTTTTAGAAGTATTGGCACAATTGCTTTATTTAATGGCAGTTTCTAAAAATATTTCTATAAAATAACTAAGTAATGAATTTAGTTACTCTAATAATGTAACGCCTCGACGAGTTACAGCACTGCAGCATTAACTTCATCAATTACCAATGCACATTCCACACATGCTGGAGGCTCATCGGGGCCATCCTTAACGAGATCAAGCTGGGCCTATCAGCCCAATCAGGGGACTTAGTGCAGTATTTAAACCCTGAGGAACCATTCCTCAGGGCTTAGACATTGAGTTACTAACCCTGCCTTGAGTTTGTCTCAGTTTCAGGTTCTCAGATGTAGTCCCCAGTCCCCCTAATCTTCTCTTTGTCACCTCAGACTACAGTCTTTGCTCTACCTGATTCAGGTGTGCAGCTACTGCCTAAGCTGTTTTCTCAGTCTCTGCTCTGTTTGTCCTCTTCAGCTCTGTCATTATTAAATAGACTTGCCACATCTCTCTGGCTCATCGACTTCTAATTTTTGCAGAGCTCTTTCAACACCTTGTCGGGCCCAGTGTAACAGAATGTCTGGGCTTACTAAATCCAGAGCCAGGTGGCAGAAAAAAATCAGGACCCAGGGCCGCTGACACAGCGCAACACCTCAGAATCCTGCTTGAGTAAGTCCTTCCGGAGACTCCACGGTTAACATCTCCTGCCTCCTCCATGGACACGATACTCCCTGCCTCTAATCCTGAGCTGCTCCAGTTGCAAGTCCAGCCCCAGCCTAGAGGTCGGCGCTCACCTCAGATGATCTCAGCCTTTCCTCAGTCACAGTTACAGGTTCCAGGTTTTTGGATGCTCCGACCCTCATCTCTGTCAAATGTCTCAAACTCCGGCCTCAGTCTTCTGCTCTGAGGGGATTTGCATCACAGCCTCAGTTCCCCATACCATGGATGCTTCAGCCTCTGTTCCAGATCTCAGCTTGGATGCCTCCTCAGCCTCAGAATACAGGTCAGTGACTGTCTCTTCTGCCGAAACCTTCAAGAGGGCATCAACCAAGATTGCTGCCTCCAAACTCTTTCTATGGGGCTCCAAACCAGTGTTTCAGACTCGGAAGAGCCCATGCAAATTGGGGAGATGAAACTCTCAGTAGAAGAAAGGGAAAAAAGATATCGAGGTAAACTTTGTATGTACTGTGGAAAGAAGGGCCATTGGGAAAAGGACCTGCCCTGAGTTATTGGGGAAACAGGCTCCGCTCAGTAAAGAAGGAGGGAAGGGGGGGAAGAGAATTAAACGGTTGACTAATTCAACAATTCACATAGAAATTTGCTGCTTATATTGATTTCAGATAATTTGGTCTCATGTTGACTATACCTTTTTGTTTTTTTTGAGATGTAATATACTCCAGAGGATGTGTGTCAAGTTTCAATCTGCCATCTTCCATTTGTATGTAACAACAAGGTTGATATGATGTCTGTTCTGGATTCATCTGTTGCTCTTTAAGATTTACTTTTAAAGAAAAACAAGATTGAGACAAAAGTAATAAAATACGTGTCTCAGCATCATTGCATAGCTTCATAAAGATTTTTTTTTTTTACCAGTTGGAGGGTTGTTAAAATATCTAAATCAGAGCACTGTGTAATTTAGGCTCAGCCTGAGGATGTTGTTTCCATTACTTTAATGTCAAGGTTATCTCTCTCAGCAGACAGAACAATCACTACTTTGATAAACATCAAGAGAAATGTTGTGTAAATAAATCTACTGCAATCATCTCATTAGAGAACAGCAGCTGTGCAGGAAAAGGAAAGCCAACAGTAGCATCTGATTGATGTGCCATACATGATCTGCAAGCCTCCGATTGCTGCAGGAGGGCTGCAGATGCATTTCCCAAACATAGGCAGAGGAAAAACAAGGAGAAACAATAGTGTGAATAGGCTTTCCCCCCCAGGCCTTCCTTCAACATCTGGACTTTAAAGACCACAGAGCTTTCATTCAGCAAACTGGTGGTGTGATCCACTTAGCATGAATTCTTTATTAATAGGCTAAAAGTAACATTGTGACTTGCAGGTGGATTGGAATGTGCTCTGTGCTTTAAATTTGCAGGTCTGTGGATTTAGTTATTTATAAAGCATGTAGTTATGCTGCCAAGAGCTTAGCTCTTGAGAAACAAATCTTTTCTTAGTTTCGTATTAAGTTATGAAAATGTGTGAAATCTCCCCCTTTCAATAAATACGAAACAGAATTGGCATGCATCTTACCATTCCCAATGCATCCTTTCAGGACAAATGTTTAAACAAGGTTGAAAATACTTTAAATTTATATATATTCCTTAGTTTTTGCCCTTGCCCTTCAAACTGCTCCTGTCCTCAGAGTAAATCTGCAATGTTCAGTGTGCCTAGCAAGCAGAAGGACATGAGGTACGGGGCAGTGTAGTTGGTACTCTCCTGCTGAAGGAGAGAGTCAGAATCATCTTTATTAGCCAAGAACATTTCACGTACAAGGAATTTTTGCAGGTGGTCTTGGTCCTGCTGAAACAACATTCTACATACAATATACCATACACAAACAAGACAACACATATCATTGAGACAGTGCACATACAGTATACTATACCTAGGAAAGAAGCTGTTCAAATTCTGTGTGGTTCTGATTTTTAATAGACCGGTGGCGTCTTCCTGAGAGAAGTTTACGAACCAGGTGGTAACCTGGGTGGGAGGAGTCATCAGCAATGTTTTCTGCTGTTTCTTTGCTCTGGAATTGTACACATTGTCAATGGAGGGCAGAGGACACCCCACTGAGGCATTTGGAAAGCTCTCAATAATCTCTCTGTAAAGCAGTATCAGAACTTTATACAGTTCTGTATAAAGTTAAAGGGCGGAGCAGTGGCTCAGAGGATCTGCGCCTGTGGCTGGAAGGTTGCTGGTTCCTATCCCATGGCTGGTGGAGGAATCCTACTCTTTTGGGCCCCTGAGCAAGGCCCTTAACCTCAACTGCTCCAGAGGTGTCATATAAATGGCTGACCCTGCACTCTGACCCCAAGCTTCTCTCTCCCTGCCTGCGTGTCTCATGGAGAGCAAGCTGGGGTATGTGAAAAGACAAATTTCTATAACAAGAAATTGTATATGGCTAATATAGTGATCTTATCTTAACTGTTTGAGGGATGACAAAGTTTTACAGAGCAGGGGAAGGCTGTGTGGGAGGACATGAACAAAAGTGTAGCTGATTGATTGATATCAATTGGATTTCTACTTATTCACGATGATGAGATTTGTGCTGTATGCAGTAGGCTGAGGTGAAAAGTTTGAAAGTGTTTTTTAAATTGCATATAATGGCTTTGAAGTGGCTTCTCTGCCTGAAACATTAATTTCCCAAGGCTTCTCTTTTAATGTAGAGTGTAATCAATAACACATCTTAAAGTTGCTCTATGAAAAACATAAATTAAGTGAAATATTATTGATCTAAAGACCTGTTGTGCCCAGTGCAAATCATACACTGACTCAGATAGCTTCTTGTTATTGAGATGTACTGACTCCTTGCATCTTAGGTCTTACAGAGATGGCAAAAGGTAAACAGTTACCACTAACTGTTTGATGGGTCTGGGAATCTGTTACTAATGGGGTAAAAATTGTGGCAAGCTACAGTAAGTGTCCAGATTATTAGCTTTCCAACATAAAGATTTTAAATATTGATTTTAAGTTAAAGGATAAATAAACACCTTATTTTTTTAAAAAAGAATGTGTTTTATTGTATTTTCTGAATGATATGATAAAATGTCAAGGATGGAGAATCCAAAAGTCATATCAAACTCAATTGACCTGAACTAAACAAACTAGCAAAAGCTGAGGACAGAATGTATTTTACACAGATAGAATGTTAACAATGCTTAAGAAACTGATTTAAACAGTATAAAGGGACTGTTTTGTACAGTGAACAGAACAAAAGAGAATGTACAGTAATTATGATAAGTGAACTAATTCTGTTGTAATAGGTCACAGAGTTGTGAGAGGTTGTGTATGTAAATCCTTCAAAGTACACCATTTCCCATACTTTGTTTTTATTATGGTGCAGTTCCTCTGCAATATAAGTGGTTTGTCTGAGGGTGTTATTGAAAGCTATAGATCCCATTTAACCTGCCCCTTCTTGTCTCTGATGTATTCTTCAATGCAGCTCAGGTTGAAGAAAATGCCATCCTGCAGCATCCTTTGGTTAGCGATTGCCTTGGGATACTGTTAAATGTTTATGAATGCTCATGGTTATGCAGGGCTAGTTGCTCTGACCAGATCCCCATTTCAATATCCACCTTAATTAGTAATTATTCAATTCCTGGTTTTCTATTTAATACCAAGGTGCCGCTTTGGCAGTGTGTCATCACTATTCATTTCACCCTGGGTTTTCCACACTTGCAGTGCTGCTTTCACTCTCCATATTTCTCCTCTGAACCAGGCTCACTCTTCACAGAGGTTGCAGTCTCAAGCCTGATCTTTGAACTTTCTAGGGGGCTTGCTATTCAGTTTCTCCAATTCCTGAGGCTCCCTTTTTCCCAACTTATGGGCTGTGTTTATCAGCAGTTTCAGCCTCTAACCAGCACTTCTAGTTGTATAGTAGTTTTCAGCCTCAAGCCAGCACTTTGCTCTTCATAGCAGTTTCAGCATCAGGCCTGCTCTTCTAGCTCATTTGGCTCCCTTTTCAGGAGGCTCACTATTTGTTTTTTTCTGTACCCAGGGCTCCCCTTTCTGACTGGATTGTGTGTTTCTACCTCAACTTCAAGCCCGCACTCCACTTCAAACTTATTTTCACTGTTTTACTCTTTAATTCAACCCCCCAGCTTGCCAACCTGCACCCCTGGCACTCCTGAGGGCTGCACTTCAAACTCAAGCAGTTCTCTTTTCAGGGGGCTTGTTATTTGGTTTCTTTCGGTACCCGAAACTCCCATTTTCCAGCCAAGCAGGCTGTGTTTAGCCTTAGTGTTTAGAGGGGTACGGTTTGCTGGCTTCTCCTTGGAGCAAGGCACCTCCCTGTTTCCTTCTTTTCTATTACTGACAGGTCTGGGCTGACTGAGCCCCGCTGGCCAATAATTATTCTATTAGCACCTCCTTTCACTCTTCACTCTCCCTCTGTCCCAGAGTGCTCACACCCCTATCAGTTGGGTCTCTTCAGGTATTCAGTGGCTCGCCGGTCTCTTGCTCTTGGGTTCTGACACATCCCCACACAGCTGTATCCTGCCCTGCCATTACAAATACAGTTCTTGTCTCTTCTTATTCAATGCCAGCACTTGCCACTTTGTCGCTTTTTCCTTTCCATTTAACTGTTTATAGAAAGGGATGCACAGATGTGTACAGTATACCAATGCACATGGTGAAAAAGCTACATTCTCTACATTTAAATTCTGGAAATGTATGTGCCATACAGAGGTCACAGAAGAAAGATATCATCAGTGTTCAGGTATATTTCACTAAATGAAATTCAGGAGGAAGGTTTGACTCTTCTTTCCTTTTTATTCAAGACTCACACCCCGGGACTTTCTGTAGTGCAACTCCCTTGTACCTCTCCTGCCACCCCATCTACATGTCTGCAGCAGTTCCCTTGCTCAATCCTTGCAATATAGAGGGAGAGTCTAAGCAGCCTGTCCCTGTTCTTTTCTCTGTAGGATGAACGTCTAAAAGACCAACAAATTATCGTTTTTTATTAACTTGGAAGACACTAAATTTGATCTACAATGTTTCAGAAATTATGTAAGAACTGCTTCAGTGTCATGAGACTTTTTTAATATTAAAAGGAAAAGTCTTTGATTGAACAGATGTTTGTGAGATGTTACTGTTATAGTGTTTAAATTTAATACCAGACTAGAAGCATGATCAGCTCCACAAGTCTGGCTTTAATAGTATTTCCCCTGAAGGCAGTGTTTTCACTGCTTTGTGCTTTTCAGAAAACATTTTCAAAAGAAAAAAGAAGTTCTTTATCATGAAGGGTTTTATCTGTTATCTGTCAAAGGTTTAGTGCAACTGAATTCCCCTTTTTTAGGTCAAAAGGGAAAGAAGAAGTTCATGCAACGGTTATCCCACACCAAATTCAAAATCCAAGACCCATTTTTGTGGTGGTACTTAGAGTCTAGCCGACTGCCCACAAGCAGAGTGAGAAACATCCAGACAGACCATGGAAGTACAACATACCTACACTGCCCCTAAAAGTAAGGTTAAACAATGTACTTGAGATGTTTAGATATGGGAAACAATCAGTGGTATTTTACTGAAACTCTTCTTAAAGTACTTCACATAGACAGGGACACAAGTAAACTACATCCCGTACATTGTACAGTATACAAGTAACTAAAGTGAACTGATTATAAGTAATATACTGATGACTCATTATAAATAATGAGAATAAGTAATATTGTTTATGAAAGTAAGTCTCTGTATTTTTTTATGAACCACCCCTAGGAAAACAAACTAAAAGCAGTCTATAAATATGGAAGGTATGGCACATTTGTTTTGTTCTTACTGCCAAGCTGAAGAGCTAAGGAATAATTTTGAGTTCCTTCTAAAGAAATTAAAATCTTCACATTGCCTG